GTCAAAACAACCAATCACAGCCAGAGGAGCGTCTGATGGAGTGTCAATCACAGCCCCCCCCCCCCCCCCCCCCCCCACCCCCCCCCCCCCCCACACCGCTTAATCTGCTGCAGCGCCCGGCTGCCGCAGTCAGTAGGACGCGCGTGGAAGTCATGGCGGAGTGACAGCCACCAGAGAAAGAGAAACTGCCCTTACTGCCCCTGCCGACAACTGCTTACATGGCAAACTTCGGTATAACCAGCATCTTATATCTAGCTGCTTGGAGGTGAGTGTTATCGCTCTTACCGGTTCACACTCCATGCCGCTTACGCTGCTTGGACGCTTGTGGTCGCATGCGGTAGCCGCGCAGGTGCTGTGAGAGGGGTGGGGCTTGGAGGTGGGGCATGAGTGAAGCAGGGAGGGTGGGGGAGTGACGTGAAACCTGTTTTTCTTCAAATTTTCAGTCGAAGTCTGCTCTCTCCTCAATGTTACAGACTGCAGCTTTAAGCCTGAGGCCAGAAGAAATACCACAGCTGTGGAAGACCTCTTGTATGCAACCGGTGCCAAAGATAAAACATCCAAAGGAGCTCAGCAGCTACAGCCCAGTAGGTCTGACTTCACACCTGATGAGGTCTTAAACCATCTATGCCCCCTGGTGAAGACTTCATTGGATCCACTGAAGTTTGCCTATCGGGATTGGGGCAGATAATGCCATCCTCTTCCTCCTGCACCAAGCTGTGACTCACCTAGAAAATCTGAAAGCATTGTGAGGATCATGTTTTTTTAATTTCTACTGTGCTTTCAACACCATCCAGCCAGGACACCTAATGGACAAGCTGGAGCTTTCAGGAGTGGACCAGCACGTATCCAAATGGATTTTTGACTACCTCACTGGCTGCCCTCAGTATCTGAGGGCACAGGGCTGTGTCTCAGATAGGTTGGTTTACAGTACGGGGATCCCACAGGGAACAGTGCTGGCACTTTTTGTCTTCACCCTCTACACTGCAGACTTCTCCATCAACTCCCCATACTGCCACTTCCAGAAGTTCTTTGACGATTCTGCCATAGTTGGCCTCATTTTAGGTGGGGACGACTCATAGTACAGACCGTGGACTCAGAACTTTGTGGTCTGGTTGATTATTTATTCTGCAAATACAGAGCATTTATATTGTAAAAACAGTGTTCAGTGTTAATTTGTTTATTTTCTTAACTCTGTCCCCTATTCTGTTATTTTTATACTCTTTCCACATTGTGTGACCAACTCTTCTATAACATTTTGCTGCTTTAACACCACAATTTCCCCATTGTGGGACAATAAAGGGATTTTCTGTCTCTCCAAAATGCAGAGATGGCAAACGTATTCACTTTCCGTACTTGAGTAAAAGTACAGATACTTGTGTTAAAAAATACTCTGGTAAAAGTGGAAGTACTGATTAAACTTCTTTACTCAAGTAAAAGTAACAAAGTACAGGCTTGTACATTTACTTAAAGTATAAAAGTAAAAGTAGAAACTACTTTTTTCATGCCATTGCCTACAATTTAAATGGATGTCTGCCAATAGGACTAGATCTACGTTGTGTTCATTTTCAATCAGAATGCAGAATCTGTTAGTTCAATCTCTAACCTTCTGCTCTCTCTGCTTTTCCTCAGAGTAGCTTTGCCTCGTCTGTTCCTGTTTGGCTGTGACGTCATCCTGGAAAGAAACATCAGCTGTGCTGCTTCTATCAACACCCTTGTTTATAGATGTTGGAGATCGGCCTGTTTTCCAGTGTGGTCCTGTTTCTCTGACCGTGACTGAGTGGATGTGCTTTCTTCGTCCTCTGGCATGGGAGCTGCCTTGGAGCTCGTCTGCCTGGCTGTGTGTTTCCTGGACGGGGCCGCCTTTTACAGCTGCTTTTTGTATCTCTGCTTCTGTCTCCTTGAACCCCAGTCGGCCTCGGCAGATGGCCGCTCACACTGAGCCTGGTTCTGCTGGAGGTTTCTTCCTGTTAAAAGGGAGTTTTTCCTCTCCACTGTCGGTACAAGCATGCTTAGTGTGGGGGATTGTATTTGAGTCAATGAGTCAATGCAATCAACTGGTTTTCCTTAGATAGAAAACTTTGTATCAATTTGACTGTATGATCTGGTTGAACTGTAAAGTGCCTTGAGATGACATGTGTTGTGAATTTGGCGCTATATAAATAAACTGAATTGAATTGAATTGAATTGAATCATCTCGTCGTCCATACTACTATGCTAACGCCACCGCCACCAAGCTGCAATGATTTGCCGCGAATGAATACCGCCGAATCTGTCGATTCATCTTGTAGTGGTGCATCAAATGCAACGTAGATTCCCATCCAATTAGATTCAATTTGGTATTGATGACGTGAAAAATAATAACGGTAATTCCATTGAATTGATTCAAAACAAAAGTAACGAGCCAATTTTTTAAAATGTAAGGAGTAGAAAGTACAGATATTTGTGTAAAAATGTAAGGAGTAGAAGTAAAAAGTCGCCATAAAAATAAGTAGTAAAGTAAAGTAAAAATATCAGAAAAATCTACTTGAGTACAGTAACGAAGTATTTGTACTTCGTTACTTCCCATCTCTGCCAAAATGTCAGATTTATGTTGCTTAACAACAATGGCATCCCAAGGGGACCATTAAAGCTACAGTGTGTAATTTTCAGCGACATCTAACGTCCAGACTGCAGACCGCAGCAACATGAACATCTCCCCCCCACCGCTTCTCCCCCCCAACAGTACGGCGAGCCGAGCGTTACGGGACAAAATGTCTTCCACAACGTCCGCATCACCTTCCTTCTCAAGTGATGAGGTTTGTTTACATAGATAATTTTACAGATAGTATTTCATTAGTCTGTGTAGGATATAGATTTCAGTACCGTCTCAGTTCATCTCTCTCAACTTGCCGTAGTTACTTTCGAGCGTAATGGGCGATCTCGCAATCGCTAGTTTGTTGGCTCTGCGGTGCCGTAGCGCAAAGATGTCTGCCTCCATGGCTGCGAGACCCGCTCCTATTTTATTATAAACAACGAATTCTAAGGCAACGCAAATATTAAGGTTAAGAGGCTGAGCTCGTAGATGATGATAAATAACATAGTTATGTATAATATATTACATTTCTGACTGTATATCCCTGTAATTATTACACACTGTAGCTTTAATAGATGCCAAGTGCTTTTACTCAACTTAATAATAATTTAATGTATTTTGGATTGAACTAATACTTCATCAAAACATATTGTTGCTCTGAAGATACGGTTTGAGGTTTTGGTAGTAGCTTTTTGTAGAACTCATAAGTTTGTACTATATGCCTCCTTTATAAAATATCTAAGGAGAAATAGGTACAGACACCCGCAATGAATAACAGAAGTTATTCATTGTCATAGTCAGAATTAAATTCCAACAACAGTAGATTTTTCCTGTTTAAAACAATACTGTAGGACCTTTAAACCATTATAAAATGTTAAAAAGAGCATTGAATAAGAACAGAGTGACTCAGAGACTTACGCCTATTTTGACTTTAAGGGATCTCTATAATTTTGCTGCTATAGGCCTATGCTGCTGGAGGACACAGGGACCACTTTTCACAATTCTCTTATTCAGTTCTCCCATTCTGCAGTATTTTTCTTGGTTCAACCTCTAACTTTATGTTCTCTCTGCTTTTTCTCATAATACGTAGCTGAACCTTGTCTGGTCCTGCACTGCTGCTATCAACCTTCAAATATAAATATAGGTGGGCCTTTTTCTTCTGTGTTTTGTCTTCCTAGACATAACTATGGGCTCGGCTTTTACTGTCACTAATTATATGTTCTCTCTTTCATCCCTTGTGATATTAAAACTGCCTCAGAGCTCTTATGCTTAACTGTTTTGTACTGTACCTAGACAGAGCCACCTGTGGAGCTGCTTCAACGTTAACTTTCCTCAAATAGAAATCATTAATCAGGGCTTCTATTGTATGTTTCTCTGGTATGTCTGCTTCTGTATTCTCGAACCCTGCCTTGGCAGAAGGCAGTTCATACTGAGCCTGGTTCTGCTGGAAGTTTTTTACTTTTAAAATTCAGTTTTTATTTTTTACAGGCATTGTATGCATGTTCAATTTGAGATTGCTGTAGATTCAAAGACAAAATTCAAAATACTGTTAACCTCATGCTCATCCAGGAGGAGCAAATCCTGCAAAGTTAATGACTGAATGCCATTAGCTGGTCTTCCTTACAGAAAAAACTCTTAACCAATCTGACTCAATGATCTTTTTGATTTGATCTGATTGAATTGCCCTTTGAAATGATGTGTTGTGAAATGGCACTATATATACTTAAACTGAATTGAACTGAACAGAATTGAAACTCCACATCACTAGAAATGGTGTCGGTTAGGGCGTCGGCTACTGCAAAGAAAAAACACCCAGGTTACCTTTCCACAGAACTATCCAACAGCTATGCCTTTATATCATGAAACAAAGAACATAATGTTTTATTTTTCATTAAAATATACCTTATAGAGAAATTCCTTACTTTTATATGTTGTTGTTAAATAAGTTTTCATTTTGAACCCCATTTTAGCTCATTTATAAGAGTGTGTGAACTACTTTCTAAGCCTGTGTGCATGTGTTCAAAGAATTTTCTCAGTACAATAGTAGAAAAACCACTAAGGTTTTACGAAGAGAGGCTTTCAAGTACTAAACACCTCTGCTCAAAGACAGCAGGCGAAAAAGGCAACAAGACCACAGATATGTCTCAGAAGGAAAGTATTATGTTTAAGTCTTTTTTGAAAAAGTCGCCCCTTAAAGTCTTCAAGACAAATCAAAAGAGATAGCACCGTATGCAACTCTAACGTTGGGTTGGGGTGGAGTTTTGTGGTGAGGGTCGCTCCTGAGCTGTGGTTAAAGGTTAAAATAAGAGGCCATTGGATAAATGCATGTTAAGAGTGAGGTTTGTGCTTCATTATGGGGTAACAGAAGGAAACCGTGCATCACACAAGGTTAGTAATGGGTTTAAAAACAATCTGATGAATGACTTACTCTCGCAGAGCCTCCTCCTTAGCCTGCCCCTAATTTTATCAATGGCGTTGAAGTCAGTCACGTGAAAGACATGGGCGTTCTTTGGCTCAGCCGCGATTTCCTCCAGCTCTTCCTTCAGAGCCTCCCCAATGCCAACAGCGAACATCCGGATTCCAGCTTTGGCGGCTAACCTGGAGGGCTCCAGAACATAATCCTGACTTCGGCCATCTGTTAGCAGAATGGCCACCTTTTGAATGCCTCGAGCGAGCGGCCTTGCTCCGCTACTCTCCGTGAAGATGTTGTCGGTGGTGTAGTTGATAGCATCGCCAGTCATTGTATTTCCTCCCAGGTAGCGTATGTTCCGGGCAGCCTGCTTCACATCTTCCAGGGTCCTGTATCTCCCCAGGGTAAACTCAGTGGTTGGTTTATCACTGTAGCGAACCACTGCCACTCTAGTTTTGTCAGGCGCTATGTCAAATGACTCTACCAAGTTTGCAACCCATTGCCTAATTTTCTCAAAATTTTCTTTTCCCACACTGGATGAGGTATCTATTATAAATGCCAAGTCATAGTGGACGTTTTTACAACCTGGAACAGACACGTATAAAGGAATCAGTAAAAAAGACAAACTGTTACTGGTAATCTGGGTGCAGAGCTTTGATTTTAATTGTTTTACCTGCCCTCTGTGCTTCTACTCCCTCTCCGGAAAGAGTCAGGGCCAGGACGAACCAGACCAGGGCGATCCTAAATCCCAGTCGAAATTCCATCTCCGCCTTGTCTTGGTTCTGTTTTGCTCAGCTTACTACGACCATCAAGCTCCTCAGTCTGTAAAACGTTCAGAGGAAACATCAAACAATGCATCTTTCAGATTTAAGCTGTCTAATAGTTTTGTAGAGTCAAGTTCTCCATCAATCTAAAATTGTCTTTTGTGCATTTTCTATAAAATGTAATTTTACCTACTGCTTTCTGCTTTATTGTCAAACTTTAGTGTTTCAGATAATGGAAAACTCTTCAACGTTGCAAAGGATAATGAGACCAAAAGGTCCCTAATATCTCAATCCAATATAAAAGGAAACTTTGACCTCACCACTGGAAGAGATTTTGCTGTGTTAGTTGTCTTGGAATACAGATCTTCCAAATAGACCCTCATTTATCATCTCAGTTCACCACATATTTTATAAAGGTCATTAAGATGTTTTTTTGGTAAATGTGACCACATTTGGAAGGCCTTTGCACTCTTCAAGGAGGACATTGTTTTTCACCCAGTCTTTTCCATATTGTTAGATTATGACCACTCACAGTGCATCAGATTTAATTTACTGTTCTTTCATAATCTGTTGTTCATGTTTTAATGGACGCTAAAAGATTTATTTGTAAGACTGGTACACTGCTTAGTTTTCCATCTGCTTGATTGTCTTTACATGGAGGCTTCAATGTTTTTGCTTTCTGACATCTTTAAGCACAAGAATTGAATTGAAAATGTTTTTTTTGTCACCAAATTATATGCATCAGTCCACAGAAACAGATCATCAATAAACCCCCAAAATTTACAGGATTAAATCCAAGACTCAACAAGCAGTTTGTTGGTTTGAAAGGATTTGCTCCCTTTTTAAACTGAATCATCATTTGAAGACTTTATATATATATATTTTTTTTTTACTGAGATATTTGAATTGAGCTTCATTATCTAAAGTATTCAAATAAAATAAAATAAAAAGGAGAACGGGCACATACTAAAGGTTGCCTTGAAGAGTCCTCAATGATTTTGAATTCACATCCTAACTTAAAAAATAGCCTTCCGGAAAGCTTCCACAAACCATTTTCTGAAAGGTACCAAAATGTATTATTATGATAAAACACTTGATACATCTGAAAACACTTAGGGCTTGATCTTGATTGAGGTTGGGTTTAAGAAAAATGGGAAAACCACATTGCAGACAAAAAGCTGGTTCATTGGGTCTGTGAAATGTTTTAAATAGCAGGTGCATTTAGCCTGGTTGCCTTGAATTTTTTGCAATATATTCAAGTTTAAATACTTACCTCATGCACTGCAATGTATCAAACCGGAAACAGTTTGCGGGTTTAGTTTCTGCATCTATAGCCCCATTTACACTACCTCTCTGAAACTGATCCATGCCGAGTTTGGATCAGTTAACTGTTTCGAGCTTGGTCCTCACGATCATTTACACATCACGCTTCCTCGACTCCTATCGGCGGTCCACAATACTACTAGCCTGACGTAGTCCTACTCAATTCTAGTCAGAATATGAGTCTGAGACTGCTCCATAGAGCTGTGATTATGGGGCGTGTTTCGAACGAACCAGGAAAAAAAATGCCTCTGCACTCCATTGGATAGACCTACAACCAATAAGAGCAATGGAGTGCGTGACGTATGTTAAGCCAGGCCCAGTTGTTGTCAACAAAAATCAAAGCGTGCAGTTGCACGCCTAGAATAAGAAGATGAGCCTTGATCGCGTTTCTCTGTTCCTCTTTTAAAATTAATTTGCTGTTGATATCTTCTAGAACAGACCTAATAGCAGAATCTACACACCTCAACTCTCCAGCGGCAGCCATTGTTGTTGTCACCCAAGCGAGCTTTGGTCACATGGTTGGTTACGTTACTGTTGATCATCTGTCCATCATCGTATAAAGCCCGCCCTGACAATTTGATTGGCCCGCCAGATATTGTGCGAGCATACTCGCGCTACTATTGAGCAATGCCAGACCGAACTTCCCGACCTCAAACGTTGTGGGCGGGACTAAGTTTGGAATGGCACCCAGTCTACAATACTACAGCTCTCAGGCGGGAATTACACAGAAAAAAATGGCAGCGCCCATAACATTCAGGAACTTATGTTTGTTTCTATTAGTGGTGTTTCGTCGTTTCCGGAATGTGAGGTGAAAAAGCCATCCTTCTCGACTTCAGCATCATCCCAGGTCACACCACGCTCATTTGATGCAATTTATTGTTAATAAGCTGAGAAGAAGTTCTTGATGTGAACAGGTGGAGAGATCTGTGAATTGCAATGCACACGTCGGAAAACCCGCAGAAGGAGTCAGTGGACTATAAATAGGAGATGATGCACTCTGCTCTTTGTTATCGGAGAACAGAGCCACAACTGAACCGCACTGAGCCCTACTGTTGAACTAGTACTATATTTAACGCAGTTCGGTTGTGTCTGGCACAGTCAAGTTCAGTTGCATTCTATTTACACTCAACAGTTATCTCGGTTAGGGTGTTTGGAGTGTTCTCGGCACGGTTTCCAAAGGCTTGTGTAAATGGGGTATACTGTATATATAACACGTTTCAAACCAACAACTGCATTGAAAGAGATCAGCCTGTTTTTCAGTGTAGTCCTGTTTCTCTGACTGTGACTGGCTGGATGTGCTCTCTTCATCCTCTGACATGGGAGCTGGCTCGGAGCTCATCTGCCTGGCTGTGTGTTTTCTGGATGAGGCCGCCTTTTTCAGCTGCTTTTTGTGACTCTACTTCTGTCTCCTTGAAGATGGCCGCTCACACTGAGTCTGGTTCTGCTGCAGGTTTCTTCCTGTTAAAAGGAAGTTTTTCCTCTCCACTGTCGCTACAAGCATGCTTAGTGTGAGGGATTGCCTTCGAGTCAATGAGTTGATGCAATCAACTGGTTTTCCCTAGATAGAAAACTTTGAAGCAATCTGACTGTATGATCTGAACTTTACAGTGCCTTGAGGTGACATGTGTTGTGAATTGGCGCTATATAAATATACTGAATTGAATTGAACTGGATATCTGCAGTCTTTTTTGTGAGGATTAGGTCCAATGACAGAGAGAGAGTTTTTCTCTTTTCCATGTTTTAATATTGATATTTTGTTTTTTATTTCAGATTGTATAGTTTTCAACTTTTTAATAGTAATTATTTATTTGTATTTTTTTTTTATGCTATGGTTCATTATATTTTATTATGCACCGTGGGGTTGAGAGGACTGCAATTTCTTCTGTGTTGTATGTTCACCATGTAGCACATTTGACAATAAAGTTGAGTTGAGTTGAGTATTCTTGTGGCACTTTGAGACATCAATGTGTGTCATAAAAAATATTATTTATATATATTTTCTTTTTAAGGGAAAAATGAATGCCTCCAACTCCATGGCTTTGAACTTCATCTTCCTTTCACTACCTCTAAAAAGGGCAGTGCATACGTCTTTTCCACCTGTTATCAGTATTTGATGACCCGCAACATGTTAACTAATTGCTCATGCAAAATTTTTTTTTTTTTTTGAGGGGGGGGGGGGTCTTTGTAGATCAGGGTGAGTCCTGGCCTACTCTCATGCCGAAGCTTTCTTTTACTCCAGTATATTGTTGACTTGAAGCTTGGCAGGATATGTTCTTCTCTCTCCGAACATGATAATTGAAAGCTAAGACAAAAAAACCCATCTATTTAGAAGATGAAGTGAATTCTCAATCCAGAGAAAATTGGACCGACCGAAGATGGTTGAAACTTGAAGCCAAACTATGTCTTTCTCTCCACCCACAAGACAGAAAAAGAAATATGCAGGGCAAGAGGGCTTAGCTGATGTTGCACGATCTGAATGCATTTAAAACCTAGACAAAGATATCCAGTCAGATTAAACCTTCTCCATGCTTCAAAATACTCATTTTTGGCATTCGCCTGGATTTATTATTACAGGCTCTTGTGTTATAATGCCAACATCTAAACACATCACTATTCTTAACTTTACACAGCATGGGTCGCAGTGCCTGCTGTTTTTAAAGGACCGTCATCTCACTGACTCTAGCCTAAACATGGGCTCATCCTGACAGGAAGACTGTCTCATTTTAGGGATGAGGGGGTCATCTGGGGGAAGCTTTGGAAAATTTTAGTTATGGTCAAGAAAGAAAGCTGAAATCCCTCAGGAACTAAAAAGCTTTTCACCATCTTTCACCTTAACATCACAGTAAGATTTTTCCTCTAAAAAGCATATTTATTTTCCAGAGGAAACAGGTAACCACATCTGCTTGCTTGAGTCAGGAAAGAAACTGAAGAAAAAATAAACGGACCCTGTTGTTCATTATTTTAATACTTTGGGACATAAAAATTCAATTTTAACGACTCTTAAAAGCTACTTTGATATTAGTGGTTAAAGGGCAAAGCTAAGATCCTGCCAGAGTACCCAGAGAAAAGGCACAGAGAACCTAATGCTGTAAGGCAAGGGTGCTGACCAACACTACGGTCGCCATAGAAGGTTATTCCACATGATTCATATTTTAATTTTGATCATTAAGCATTTATTTAATCAGGAAAGTCAAAAACATTAACACTGTCTTTTTAAAGTGTTGGAAAAAAATATCCAAAAGCATTATAACAAGTTTAAAAAACAACAACATTATAAATAAAACCAAAACATATACAAATACAAAATAATAATTTAGGTTTTTTTCTTTATTTTTGAAAACTATATAAATAAAATATTATGACTAATATTGGAAAAAACTTTTTGAAAAAAGGGAAAAATGTTGGAGTAAGGTAAGAGTCTCAGATCGGATCAGACTGAATTATAAACACTTAAAAAAATAAAAAAATTAAGGTGTTTTTATACTGAATGCAAATCTCCCGGAGCAAATTATGTTCTTCCTATACTGAGGGAGCACTGCCACGCAAAACCAGGCAAAGGTCGTAAATTTAACAAGGTGAAAGGCAGATTTTTGGCGGATACAGCGACAAAAGAACGCTGCCGTACCTGACAGGTACATAAAGCTAAATAAGCTGGAATGGAAAGATTTCAATTCAATTCAGTTTATTTATTTATAGCGCAAATTCAAAACACATGTCATCTTAAGGCACTTTACAGTTCACCAGGTCACACAGTCAAACTGAAGTTGACAGTTGACAATCCCTCACACTAAGCATGCTTGTAGCGACAGTGGAGAGGAAAAACTCCCTTTTAACAGGAAGAAACCTCCAGTAGAACCAGGCTCAGTGTGAGCGGCCATCTGCCGAGGCCGACTGGGGTTCAAGGAGACAGAAGCAGAGACACAAAAAGATTTGAACCTTTGTCTATATTCACGTTGGGAAAACTAATCAGAGGTGGGACTGTGATGTAGGGTGAAGCAGAGATACGCTTTTTTCAATCAAAATTGAAGATAGATAAAATAAAGTTAAAAATGATGAGATACCAAATCGTCTTAAGAGTTTTGCAGACATCTTTCAAAAATTATCTGTTGTAATTTAGCCCTAAAAGGCCTGATCATTCTCTTCCCTTTGTTCCATTGCAGACACTGGCTGGTAGCCACCTCTCCCTGCTTTGCTGCTCTCTGCCCGGTGGGCTTCTTCAGTCAGCTGTTATCCTCCTTCCATCCCTCTCTGTCCCATGTTTTCTTAACTTTGACATTTTTATCTGCACTCATTTCCCAACAAACATTATCTATGTTTTAGTCAAAGGTTTCCTCCTGTTGTTGGTGTGTTTACTTCACATTTAGTTGTGTAGAATAAGATGTATCATGGGAATGTTTTTTGTAGGGGCTTTTAAGAAATCTTTAAGACATTTTGTTGTTGAGAAATATTGCTGTTGAACATATATGATCTTTTAGTGTTTAAAACAACTTGGTCTGGATTTGCTGCTTTGATTAAACCTTAAAACCCAAATGTTGCAGATTTTTTCAAAACCATCTCACCGTTCCACTAGACTACAGTTTTGTCTAAGTTTGCTCGTCCTCCAGTATTTTTTTATTATGTTTTTGTTAGGTCCAGAAGATTTTGTCATTTTTTACAAAGTTTTAGTCTTTTGTTGTCCATATTTTTTCTTTTTTTGTTAATAAAAAAAAGGCAATAGACTGAAATATACAAAAAAATACCCCTACATCATTATTATACTTCCACCACCATATCTCTTAGTATGAGCGGTCACTCGGGTCGTAGCTTTGACCCACATTCAGCATGGATGCCAGGACAATTTCTGACCAGAACACCTTCTTCTACATATTTGCGATTCTCATAAGTATAAACCTTCACAGACTACAAATCAAATTTCTTAACAGTCTCTCCAGCATCTTTCTTCGTTTACCATCTTTTTAGAAGTAAGATCCATGAAGTACATGACTTTAAGCTATGCTGTATATACACACAATTGCAAAACCCTTTTCTGCAAAGCACTATGCTGACAGTTATTAAACAGGTAGACTGCCATGTCTAAGTTTATATATATATATATATATATATATATATATAGATATATATATATATATATATATATATATATATATATATATATATATATATATATATATATATATATATATATATATATATATATAGAAGTTTTTCCTTTTTTTCTTTGGGGTGGGGGGTTATAAATAGAACAGCCTGTGTTTAAAGGTGGAATAGTTACGGCTTTGTAAACTTTTGGGTAAGCAAACAGCCCCAGCTACTCCCAGATACTAATTTTCTTATCTGATTCCACTTATGGGTTATTTCTGCAACATGCCTTCACTGTTGCTATTCATGAGTAGCTTAGGTATGCAAGCTGAACGGCTCCAAACACCCTGAATTAAGGTGCGCTTAAAATAAAAAAAATCTGAAAACTTTTCACTGCCAAGAGGTGAGTAAAGAATTAGCATTAAAAAAACTAAGCATTAAAATAAATTGAAGCATTAAAATCTTTTGTTTCCTGATTGGATTCATTATTAAAAACTGAGTTTTTTGTTTCTTTTTTAAAGATTCTGGAAATTATCCCCTGTGTGTGACCTATTATAACCTGAATCGTTTAATTTTTCACCACTTTTCTCCGTCTGTAATACAGGCTTAGTATATTTAAATTTGTGTTTTAAAGAATTCACGATCAGAGTGGGAGTTAAATTAAGGCACTACTAAAATAGTTTTTTCTATTTTTCACTATGTTTCATTAAAACTTTTACCTTTAAAAGTATATTTTAAACGTTTAAACGCAGTACCAAATACATCTCTGAACACTCCTGATACAGAATTTTGGGTTTGTTCTTATTTTTTGAATGTTAAAGGTATAGAGGACGATCTTTTATTTCCGGGTGGATCATCTAAATAAGTGGTCCTCCTAACTGTCAATCATTCTGGTGATATGTTTACGTAAGGATGTCCTACGTGCTTGCCCAGTTAGTTATCTTTTTCTGCGCATGCGCTCTTTCAGGCGCATATCTGTGGTGAACTACGGTTTCAGACAGTCATTGAAGCTCACCTTTCTCACCACGGTTCTTTGAAAATGGCCGACGGTCGTAAGAGAAAAAGTGTCTACTAAGTGTAGGAGAAGAAAACTAAGGCATCAGGAGAGGCAGACTTGCTGTCACAGCATCCCCCTGTCACCATAGGCTGACGCTACCTGACAGCAGCAACTAATAACAAAGATGGCGCAGGCACCGTGCGTGGAGGAGGAGTTATGTGACCAACAGAGCAAAAAGCAGTGACCATCTTACCAAACGGTCAGTTACCTGAGTTTGCTATAAAGTCCACTATGTAGTCGCCGCTGTATGTGGACACAGTCAGCTTGTACGATGAGAACAGCACATTTTATACAGGGTATGCACGAGGAGAAATGGGCTTGTGCACTCTCTTGCACATGCATTTTTTTTTCTTTATGGAGAGGGTGGGTCTTTTAAAAAAAAAACCTCCACTATACCTTTAAGAGCAGACATCCTGAGGATGCAGAAAGGGAAAAATATATTTGTTTTTGTATGTTTATTTTTTTTTGCTTTTGGGTCCTCAATCCTCCTTTGATGTGGCGCCCTGAGCAAAGAGTCACATCACCCAGATCACAAACCACCACTGCATGACTCAAAGACTGTACCCTGTGGCCTGTGGTAGCACATTTACTCAAAATTGTCGTTTCATTTAGGGGGTGTCGAAATATATAATGTTCCCATCCCAAGGGGTTTGAATAGTTCTTTAACAAAGCACACTTTTCCACATGTCTTATCCATCAACTCCTATAAAAAAACAATAAAAACTCAATATTCAGCTATTCTATGAGCAGATGAAGTATTTGAGGTGGCTGCTTTGCCTCATTCAGCATCTGAACCTAGGGTGCAGTTTCCTTCAACACTGTTTCCAGTTCCTCCCTCAGCAGCAAAGCTCAGACCTGCAGCTTAGATGTCAATAACAGAAGCAGGGAGTTTATTGTTCCCCAGATGTTAAAAACAGAGCCTGCTGTAGATCTTTCATGCACATAAAGTCCAAGGAGGAAAAATGTCTATATAACTTTATTTAAATTACATTTAAAGTAACATGAGCTGGACTAAAGACAATGAAATCAGATAAAAACATTCAGGATGAACCGAATTCAAAGCAACATGTCTAAAAGTGTGGTTTACTTTTTTGGATTGCATTTAATCCCAAATAACCCATTATTACACAATGGATAAATATGTTTTGTAGAGGAACAAAGCAGTAAAATGATGATTTTTCCCCATACCTGGCCGGTGAGTCAGTCTGACTGAAGGAATCACTCTCTCTCTGCCTCCAGCGCTCACACTCTGAATCAGCACAGCAGCAGCATCATTAGGGGAAAATAATCCAAAATATTCCCCACTGCAGACACCACAAATCCAGGAGAGCTTCTTATTTATTCCAGGGTGTGCATCCAGTGTACAGAGTTTTTAAGAAGAGTTTGAAGGTATCTCCAGAAACCTTTCAGATGGTTGGACAGAGTGGGAGGGAACAGCAGAAGGGGAAAGTATAGGGTTTCACTGGGAGCCGAGGTGCTGTTCTCCACTGGCTGTGGCCGGCACATGAAATAAAAAAAAGAGGCTGAGAGACACAGCCAAATATAGAACCAAAGTTGAGGATAATTTTATGCTTTTTTTTTTTCTTTACTGTAATGGCTGCACCCAGCTGAACAGCTTCCCTCTAAGATGAGGTGCAGCATCTGGGTAATGGCCTCATACTGTCCGGCCTCCGCTGCTGCGATTGCCACAGAGGAGCCACCCTGGGTCTGGTGGTGGGCTGGGCTGCTGTGGTTTCTACCAGACCTCACACTTGTGGAGAAGGGCTTTATTTAGACTGAGAAAATGAATAAAGGACATTACTTATACCTTTGTGTTTAATGCCTTGTGTTGTGCTGTAGATAAATCTGGTTGGATACAAAAGTCCTCTGATAAAATGGTTTTTACACTTTTTATACATTGTTTTTGCTCAATTTCTATTGAGCAAAAAGTTTTGTGTGTATTTAATATAACAAGTCCAAGTATTATTATGTCTATCAAAAAGGAAAAAAGCCAAGCAAGTCAGCAAAGCTATTTGGCTCTTAGTTATAGCCAGGGAAGCATCAGGGTTTAGACAGGGGCCAAGAGGGGCCTGCTTTGGCCCCTATACTGAAGACAGAATACTAAATACATTTCATAGAATAATATGTGCTTTAACAGAAATCAGTGATAGGTCCTTTGGACCCGTTGTATTTTATTTCTTTATAGTTCTGTTTAAATAACTATTAAAATAATAAGGAGATGGCCTTTGTTGTATTGAAATAGGCAGTACTCAGGTTGAGGGGGGTGGCATCCCCCTTCTTAAAAAAAAATCTTTAAAATCATCCCCTTTCTTAAATGAACATCACCACATACCATCACCTGTGACATTTTATTACAAAATGTGTAAAATGCCTCTTTATATTAACAGTAATGGCAATAATATTGCTCTCTTTACAATTTGGCGGTCTGCAGGCTTATGCCCCTACATATAACTATGTAGGGGCAGGGATAGCCATGCTAACTCTGTAGGGGCAGTGATAGCCATGCTAACTATGTAGGGGCAGTGATAGCCATGCTAACTATGTAGGGGCAGGGATAGCCATGCTAACTCTGTAGGGGCAGTGATAGCCATGCCAACTGTGTAGGGGCAGTGATGGCCATGTTAACTGTGTAGGGGCAGGGATAACCATGTTAACTATGTAGGGGGAGTGATAGCCATGCCAACTATGTAGGGGCAGCGATAGCCATGCTAACTGTGTAGGGGCAGCGATAGCCATGCTAACTGTGTAGGGGCAGAGATAGCCATGCCAACTGTGTAGGGGCAGTGATGGACATGTTAACTGTGTAGGGGCAGGGATAGCCATGTTAACTGTGTAGGGGCAGTGATAGCCATGCTAACTGTGTAGGGGCAGCGATAGCCATGCTAACCGTTTTGGGGCAGTGATAGCCATGCTAACTGTGTAGGGGCAGTGATAGCCATGCTAACTGTTTTGGGGCAGTGATAGCCATGCTAAGGGGCTGCGTTGTTTGAGGCAGTATGCAGAGAACTAGCAACCCCATCAACAAAATCATTAACATTTGCACATGTCGACCATGTTCCTGGTCCTAGTACCTGCTAACTGCCAGCACTATTCGGATCACACTTATTATAGTGACTGCAGACACACTTCCATCCTAGCTTAGATGTACATACCAATCCTCCGATTGAGCCACAGCTTTTAAACTGGAATAATATCAATGGACAATTTCCTGTAATTCAGCTTTTCTGTCAGAAGTTGGGGTGTACAAGAAACAGCAAGTACAAAGGTTCCTGCTTGGCACTTTAGTATGTTTACAAGTAAATGCAACTTAATGGTTAAAAATTGTACAAGTTAAAGTGTTTATAAGTATTTAATAATAAATAACCCTTTAAGCCTTGGCCATAAAAATTTATACAATATTAAAAAAAATAATATATATATATATATATTTTTTATATATATATATATATATATATATATATAAATTTGTTGTTTTTATGTTTCATGTTTTATTTCATGAAATGGGGAAAATGAATTTAAAAAAACAAAATCTGACAAAACAGCAAAGTTACACTCAACCTTTTCCATCCATCCTTCCATCCATCCATTATCTGACACGCTTGTCCCGCGTGGGGTCGCGAGGGCTGCTGGTGCCTATCTCCAGCAGTCCACTCAACCTTTTTCTGATTAAAATATTTTTAAAAGCTAAATTTCTTTAATGAATATTTACATTTACAAAAAGTGTTCATACAACAATAATGCAACCAAATTAATTTTGTATTAAAATCTGTTAAATAAAAAAAAAAAAAACATGGCAGAAATGTTCATGATCATGTCACAAACAGTAAAGCAGGATCAGGTTAAGGTGCAGTATTAACTCTTTAACATCCTGCTGAGCACTCATCAATATAGCATCCAAAATTAGATAAATATGACACATCTACAAAGCTAACCAGCAGGCTAGTGGGAAACAATATTAATATAGAAGTTAAAAAATACAGTCAACATCTCAAGTATAGACTATGTATATACTATCGCTGGAAGAAAGGCTTAGTTATGAGCCGTTGAGGGATGCTAACCTCTCTGACACACAAAGGGGTTCATTCAAATGAATAATAATACAATAAATGACCCTTAACATCTTGAAGTGATGCTTTCCTTCAGCAGAAAAAGAAACAGAAAAAAAAAGAGTCTGTGAGACAGGAATAAAGCTGGGACCCATAAAGGCATACTGCAAGTAAGGGAAATGTTTGTGTAAACGCTTATAGTTTAGTTAAAAAGTGTGATAATAGCCATTCAACCAACTTCAGTATAATTAGCAAGGCTTTTAAATTGATCCTCAGGGATGTTCTTTATTCAGTTTGACTCTGCAAGAAATTTTTCACCAAAAAAAAATAAAAAATAATGGGAACAGACTTTGCAGCTAGCATTTTAATGCTGGAGTGGGTATGCTGCAGAAAATAAATAAATAAATACTGCCTCATGGTGGCTGAATACAAACACAAAACATGATTTGTTTGTATTTCTGTAAAAACCAATAAAGATTCATGTATTCCTTTGCTTTCACTTTACGGTTCTTAAACTTCCAGTTTCTGTTTTTAATGTGACAGAATAACAGGAAAATATTTTTAAAGGCTCCTTGGCAGTGAATATAGTAAAACAGCAGCAACAGTTCCTTTTAAGACGTCCTCTGCAGTCTCCTTTATCACTAGCTGAAATGCAATGTCAATAGATAAAATACATGAAAAACAAACAGCACGGCTGCTACGTCCAGGTCTATTTGCAGTCAAGGAAATGAAGCACATGCCGGGTTATGTATAGATTTAGTGTAGACAGGATGGGAAGTGGGCTGATGGTTTGGGGCAGATGCATGATGTGAGTGATTGTGCACATCTGAGGAACCGTCTGTCGCCATCAGAGAGAGGGCTACAGAGGTGACCAGCATGCGGGTGAGAGCAGGGATGCAAGACCCTGTTGGAGAAAGCCATCTGGTATCTGACTGACAGCCAGCTTCAAACCTCCCACATCAAACGGACGATCTTCCACCAAAATATGGGCAAATCCTTCATGTGCAAAAGCTCTCAAGCTAAACCTTTAAAAAAAAACAAATGCTGTAGATGTTTCACAATAGTTTGTTTCCATAGTCCTGTTGCAATGTTTATAGATGCAATTAATTTAAAATACTTTTTTTTAATTTTTAATTGTTTTTTCAGATAGAGTCCTACCAAATGCATCTTCAGTCCTGCCTCCAAAGGAAAGAACGTCCACAGAAATGAAAAGCCTTTAATCTGAAAAACAAGGTTGAAAAGAATGCAAAGCATAGAAAAAGAAAAGAAAGAATCTAATTATAAAGTAATTTATAAAGTCATAAAACTGTTTTGATCCTTTCTGAAAGTATTAAATCTGTAAAAGAAAAAAATACCAAGGGCTACTCTAAAAATCATTTTTTTACCAAAACATTTTTCAAAGTTTAATTTCTGGATTGCATTTTTTTTTCTTCAGATTTTTCCAGAAGTTGTATTTGCTTGCAACAATAATGGAACAAATTCACTCCATAAACATGTATTTTGGTAAATATTTTTAAAGAAAAAGCACAACAAAAAATGCTATATGTGGAATGCCTGGCTCTCATCCAGATTTGACATTCAATGTGGAAATTTCCTCCATAAGCAGCAGAGGGCGCTAGTTCTCCTTTCCATCTGAAGTCTATGAGGAATTGACTGTTGTTCTGTTGTTGTGACTTGAATTCAAAAAAACATCCCCGTTACGTACTTTCCATAATCATTAAGTAAGATTTTTGAACAGGATCCGAAATTTGTTTGTTTTTTTATTCTTCATATCTATTCAGGATGAGAGGAAAGGGAAGCCTGTTAGTGGTCAGGCAGAGTAGCTTTAAGGACATGTGGTTGTTTTAGCTTAATATTCATTACTGTTAGTTTTTCAAAAAAAATCAGCAACTTTCAGTGTTTTGCATACATCCGGGGTGGTAGAAAAACCAAACATTTTATTCAACTAAGAAAATTACTAAATCTTTTATTATTATTATTCAAGAGAAATCAGAGAGCAATAAACCAAGAAATTAAGACTAAAAAAGGTAGTTGGGAAAATGGCTACTCAAGTACAGAATAGTTGGCTCATAAGATTTAGTCTGTTTAAAAAGATTTAGTTAGATATAGAGCTATGTGCAAATGTTGCAAAAAAAAAAAAAAAGAAATAAGAAAAAAATACAAATATGGTTTCAAAATGGCAATTTTGTGAGAAGAATATTTGCTGAATAGCTAAAGTTACTAATGGTCGGTAGAAAAATCAGAAACAACTCAAACAGGAGCATTGATTATTATACATAAAGTACAGTTAAGTACTACTAAAAGCCCGTTCATTTCTTACTCAATATATGCTGTTAATTTTGATGCCTGTTTTTCAGGGCGATGCTATCGTCTCTTCCTCCATGTACATGAAAATATGACAACTTTTACACAGGATTCAGTGTAAACAGGATTTTTGTTTAACAAAGGAGAAAAAAAAATTAATTGAGGAAGCTATATGCCTGTGCCTTCATCTCAGAGTATTGCTGCTCAATGCACTACTG